TATAACCTCATTTTCAAACACGACACAAACTCAAGTTCAAAAACAACACAAACTCAAGTTCAACAATTCCCACCAACTAAAGTTCACTAAAAACCACAGACTCAAGTTCAACATTTGCCACAAACTCAAGCTCAAAAACAACACAAACTCAAGTTCAAACATGTCACAAACTCAAGTTCAACAAATGCCACAAACTCAAGTTCAAACATGACAAAAACTCAAGTTCACCAAACACCAAAAACCCAAGTTCAACCAATACCCAATTCTTAAGTTTAACAATTTCCACAACATCAAGTTCAAAAAACACCACAAACTCAAGTTCATAAAAGCCACAAACTCAAGTTCAAACAAGACATAAACTCAAGTTCAACAAACGCCACAAACTCAAGTTCAAACACGAAACGAACTGAAGTTCAAAAACACCACAAACTCAAGTTCAAACACAACACAAACTCAAGTTCAACAAACACACAAACTCAACTTCAAAAACACCACAAACTTATGTTCAAACACGACACAAACTCAAGTTCAACAAACACACTAACTCAAGTTCAACCAACACCTGATTCTCAAGTTTAACAATTTCCACAAACTCAATTTCAAAAACAAAAAACTCAAGTTCAAACAAAACCAAATTCTCTAGTTTAACAATTTCCACAACCTCAAGTTAAAATACACCACACACTCAAGTTCAAACACAACACAAACTCAAGTTCAACAAACACCACAAACTCAAGTTCAAACACGACACAAACTCAAGTTCAAAAAAAGTAACAAACCCAAGTTCAAACACGACACAAACTCAAGTTCAACAAACACCACAAACTCAAGTTCAAAAACGACACAAACTCAAGTTCAACAAACGCCACAAACTTAAGTTCAAACACGACACAAACTCAAGTTCAAAAACACCACAAACAAGTTCAAACACAACACAAACTCAAGTTCACCAAACAAGCAAATTCAAGTTCAACCAATACCCAATTCTCAAGTTTAACAACTTCCACAACCTCAAGTTCAAAAACACCACAAACTCAAGTTCATAAAAGCCACAAACTCAAGTTCAAACAAGACACAAACTCAAGTTCAACAAACGCCACAAACTCAAGTTAAAACATGAAACAAACTCAAGTTCAAAAGCACCACAAACTCAAGTTCAAACAAAACACAAACTCAAGTCCAACAATAACACAAACCAAGGTCAAAAACACCACAAACTCAAGTTCAAAGACAATAGAAACTCAAGTTCACCAAACACGGAACTCAAGTTCAAAAACACCACAAACTCAAGTTCAAACATGACAAAAACTCAAGTTCACCAAATACCAATAACCCAAGTTCAACCAATACCCAATTCTTAAGTTTAACAATTTCCACAAGCTAAAGTAAACAACACATGCTCAAGTTCAATTACACAACATACTCAAGTTCAAACACGACAAAAACTCAAGTTCTAAAAACACACAAACTCAAGTTTAACAATCAACACGAACTCAAGTTCATACACGACACAAACTCAAGTTCAAACAAAACACAAACTCAAGTTGGACAAACTCAAGTTCAAAAACACCACAAACTCAAGTTATAACACGACACAAACTCAAGTTCACCAAACAAGCAAATTCAAGTTCAACCAATACCCAATTCTCAAGTTTAACAATTTCCACAACCTCAAGTTCAAAAACACCACAAACTCAAGTTCAAAAAAGCCACAAACTCAAGTTCAAACAAGACACAAACTCAAGTTCAACAAACGCCACAAACTCAAGTTCAAACACGAAACAAACTCAAGTTCAAAAACACCACAACCTCAAGTTCAAAAACACCACAAACTCAAGTTCACCAAACATGCAACTCAAGTTCAAAAACACCACAAACTCAAGTTCACCAAACATGCAACTCAAGTTCAAAAACACCACAAACTCAAGTTCAAACATGACAAAAACTCAAGTTCACCAAACACCAAAAACCCAAGTTCAACCAATACCCAGTTCTCAAGTTTAACAATTTCCACAACCTCAAGTTAAAAAACAACACATGCGCAAGTTCAATTACACAAGATACTCAAGTTCAAACACAACACACACTCAAGTAAAAAAAAAACGACAAACTCAAGTTCAACAAAGACACAAACTCAAGTTCAACAAATACCCAATTCTCAAGTTAAAAAATTTCACACCCTCAAGTTCAAAAACACAACAAACTCAATTTCAAAAAAACCACAAACTCAAGTTCAAACACGACACAGAGGCATGTTTGACAATTGCCACAAACTCAAGTTCAAACACAACACAAACTTAAGTTCAACCAATACCCAAATCTCAAGTTTAACAATTTCCAAAACCTCAAGTTCAAAAACACCACAAACTCAAGTTCAAACATGTCACAAACTCAAGTTCAACAAACGCCACAAACTAAAGTTCACTTAAAACCAAGGACTCAAGTTCAACATTTGCCACAAACGCCAAAAACTCAAGTTCAAAAATTGCCACCAACTAAAGTTCAAATAAAACCAAACACTCAAGTTCAACAAATGTCAAACTATTAAGTTCAACCAACACCCACATCTCAAGTTTAACAATTGCTACAACCTCAAGTTCAAAAACATCACAAACTCAAGTTCAAAAACACCACAAACTAAAGTTGAAACACGACACAAACTCAAGTTTAACAAAAACCACAAACTAGGTTCAAACAATACCCAAATCTCATGTTTAACAATTGCTACAACCTATAGTACAAAAACAACACAAACTCAAGTTAAAAAAACCATAAACTCAAGTTCAAACATGACACAAACTCAAGTTCAAAAACAACAGAAACTCGAGTTCAAAAACAACACAAACTCAAGTTCAAACACGAGACAAACTCAAGTTCAACAAACACCACAAACTCAAGTTCAAACATGAGACAAACTCAAGTTAAACAAACACCAAAAACTCAAGTTCAAAAAACACCAGAAACTCAAGTTCAACAAACACACAAACTCAAGTTCAAACACACAACAAACTCAAATTACCACGACACAAACTCAAGTTCATAAACACCAAAAACTAAAGTTCAACCAATACCCAATTCTCAAGTTTAACAATTTCCACAACCTCAAGTTCAAAAACACCACAAATTCAAGTTCAAACACGACACAAACTCAAGTTCAACAAACACAAAAAACTCAAGTTCAAACACGAAACAAACTCAAGTTCAACAAACACACAAACTCAAGTCTAAAAACACCACAATCTCGAGTTCAAACATGGAACAAACTCAAGTTCAAAAAACACACTAACTCAAGTTCAACAAACACGCAACTCAATTTCAAACACGATATAAACTCAAGTTCAAACACAACACAAACTCAAGTTCAAAAACAACACAAACTCAAGTTCAACAAACACACAAACTCAAGTTTATAAACACCATAAACTCAAGTTCAAACACAACACATACTCAGGTTCAACAAACACAGAAACTCAAGTTTAACCAATACCCAATTCTCGAGTTTAACAATTTCCACAACCTCAAGTTCAAAAACACCACAACCTCAAGTTAAAAAAAACAAACTCAAGTTCAAACACGATATAACCTCATTTTCAAACACGACACAAACTCAAGTTCAAAAACAACACAAACTCAAGTTCAACAATTCCCACCAACTAAAGTTCACTAAAAACCACAGACTCAAGTTCAACATTTGCCACAAACTCAAGCTCAAAAACAACACAAACTCAAGTTCAAACATGTCACAAACTCAAGTTCAACAAATGCCACAAACTAAAGTTCAACAATTGCCACAAATTCAAGTTCAACATACTCCAGTTCAAATAACACATAAACTCAAGTTCAACAAACACCACGAACTCAAGTTAAAACATGACACAAACTCAAGTTCAAACACAGCACAAACTCAAGTTCAACTAACACACAAACTCAAGTTCAAAAACACCACAAACTCAAGTTCAAACACGACACAAACTCAAGTTCAACCAACACACTACTTCAAGTTCAACCAACACCTGATTCTCAAGTTTAACAAATTCCACACCCTGAAGTTAAAAAAAACCACAAACTCAAGTTCAAAAACACCACAAACTCAAGTTAAAACACGACACAAATTTATGTTCAAAAACAGCACAAACTCAAGTTCAAAGAATACACAATTCTCAAGTTTAACAAATTCCACACCCTCAAGTTAAAAAAAAAACCATAAACTCAAGTTCAAACATGACACAAACTCAAGTTCAAACATGACACAAACTCAAGTTCAAAAAACGCCCAAAACTAAAGTTCAAATACGACAGCAACTCAATTTCAACAAAAAACACAAACTCAAGTTCAACCAATACCCAATTCTCAAGTTTAATAAATTCCACACCCTCAAGTTCAAAAACACCACAAACACAAGTTCAAAAACACCACAAATTCAAGATCAAACACGAAACAAACTCAAGTTCAATAAAAAACACAAACTCAAGTTCAAACACAACACAAACTCAAGGTCAAACATGACACAAACTCAAATTCAACAAACACAAAAACTCAAGTTCAAACAATACACAATTCTCAAGTTTAATAAATTTCCTACCCTCAAGTTCAAAAACACCACAAACAAAAGTTCAAAAACACCACAAATTCAAGTTCAAACACGAAATAAACTCAAGTTAAAAAAAACCACAAACTCAAATTCAAACACAACAGAAACTCAAGTTCAACAAACACACAAACTCAAGTTCAAGAACACCAACAACTAAAGTTCAAACACACAACAAACTCAAATTAAACACAACACCATCCAAGTTCAACAAACACACAAACTCAAGTTAAAACAATACACAGATCTCAAGTTTAACAAATTCCACACCCTCAAGTTCACCAAACATGCAAACTCAAGTTCAAAAACACAGCAAACTCAAGTTCAAACACGACACACACTCAAGTTCAAAAACACCAGAAAATCAAGTTCAAACACGAAACAAACTCAAGTTCAAACACACCACTAACTCATGGTCAAACACGCCACAAACTCAAATTCAAACACGACACAAACTCAAGTTCAGCAAACGCCACTAACTAGAGTTCAAACACGAAACAAACTCAATTTAAAAAACACCACAAACTCAAGTTCAAACACAACACAAACTCAAGTTCAACAAACACACAAACTCAAGTTCAAAAACACCACAAACTCAAGGTCAAACACGACACAAACTCAAGTTCAACATAATCACAAATTCAAGGTCAACCAACACCTGATTCTCAAGTTTAAAAATGTCCACAACCTCAAGTTCAATAACACCACAAACTCAAGTTCAAAAACACCACAAACTCAAGTTCAACAAACGCCAGAAACTCAAGTTCAAACACGATACAAACTCAAGTTCAAAAACACCACAAACTCAAGTTCAAACACACCACAAACTCAAGTTCAAACATGCCACAAATTCAAATTCAAACACGACACAAACTCAAGGTCAACAAACACACTAACTCAATTTCAACAACACCTGATTCTCAAGTTTAACAATTTCAACCTCAAGTTCAAAAACAACAGAAACTCAAGTTTAAAAAACACACAAACTCAAGTTCACCAAACACGCAAACCCAAGTTCAAAAACACCACAAACTCATGTTCAAACACGACACAAACTCAAGTTCAACCAATCCCCAATTCTCAAGTTTAAAAATTTCCACAACCTCAAGTTCAAAAACAACAGAGACTCAAGTTCAAAAACACGACAAACTCAAGTTCAAACACGACAAAGAATCAGGTTCAACAAAAACCACAAACTCAATTTCAACCAACACCTGATTCTCAAGTTTAAAAATTTTCACAAACTCAAGTTCAAAAAACAACACAAACTCAAGTTCAAACACAACACATACTCAAGTTCAACCAACATCCAAATCTCAAGTTTAAAAATTGCCACAACCTCAAGTTCAACGAACACACAAACTCATGGTCAAACACGCCACAAACTCAACTTTAAACATGACACAAACTCAAGTTCAACAAACGCCACTAACTAGAGTTCAAACACGAAACAAACTCAATTTAAAAAACACCACAAACTCAAGTTCAAACATGACACAAACTCAAGTTCAATAAACACACAAACTCAAGTTTAAAAACACCACAAACTCAAGTTCAAACACGACACAAACTCAAGTTCAACATAATCACAAATTCAAGTTCAACCAACACCTGATTCTCAAGTTTAACAATGTCCACATCCTCAAGTTCAATAACACCACAAACTCAAGTTCAAAAACACCATTAACTCAAATTCAAAAACACCACAAACTCAAGTTCAACAAACACACAAACTCAAGTTTATAAACACCATAAACTCAAGTTCAAACACAACACATACTCAAGTTCAACAAACACAAAAAACTCAAGTTCAAACACGAAACAAACTCAAGTTCAACAAACACACAAACTCAAGTCTAAAAACACCACAATCTCGAGTTCAAACATGGAACAAACTCAAGTTCAAAAAACACACTAACTCAAGTTCAACAAACACGCAACTCAATTTCAAACACGATATAAACTCAAGTTCAAACACAACACAAACTCAAGTTCAAAAACAACACAAACTCAAGTTCAACAAACACACAAACTCAAGTTTATAAACAACATAAACTCAAGTTCAAACACAACACATACTCAGGTTCAACAAACACAGAAACTCAAGTTTAACCAATACCCAATTCTCGAGTTTAACAATTTCCACAACCTCAAGTTCAAAAACACCACAACCTCAAGTTAAAAAAAACAAACTCAAGTTCAAACACGATATAACCTCATTTTCAAACACGACACAAACTCAAGTTCAAAAACAACACAAACTCAAGTTCAACAATTCCCACCAACTAAAGTTCACTAAAAACCACAGACTCAAGTTCAACATTTGCCACAAACTCAAGCTCAAAAACAACACAAACTCAAGTTCAAACATGTCACAAACTCAAGTTCAACAAATGCCACAAACTAAAGTTCAACAATTGCCACAAATTCAAGTTCAACATACTCCAGTTCAAATAACACATAAACTCAAGTTCAACAAACACCACGAACTCAAGTTAAAACATGACACAAACTCAAGTTCAAACACAGCACAAACTCAAGTTCAACTAACACACAAACTCAAGTTCAAAAACACCACAAACTCAAGTTCAAACACGACACAAACTCAAGTTCAACCAACACACTACTTCAAGTTCAACCAACACCTGATTCTCAAGTTTAACAAATTCCACACCCTGAAGTTAAAAAAAACCACAAACTCAAGTTCAAAAACACCACAAACTCAAGTTAAAACACGACACAAACTCAAGTTAAACAAACGCCACAAACTCAAGTTCAAACACGAAACAAACTCAAGTTCAAAAACACCACAAACTCAAGTTTAATTAACACACAAACTCAAGTTCAAAAACACCACAAACTCAATTTCGAACACGACAAAAACTCAAGTTCAACAAACACACTAACTCAAGTTCAACCAATACCCAAATCTCAGGTTAAAAAATTGCCACAACCTCAAGTTCAAAAACACATAAACTCAAGTTCAAACACACCACAAACTCAAGTTCAAACACGCCACAAATTCAAATTCAAACACGACACAAACTCAAGTTTAAAAAACACACAAACTCAAGTTCACCAAACACGAAAACCCAAGTTCAAAAACACCACAAACTCATGTTCAAACAAGACACAAACTCAAGTTCAAAAACACCAAAAACTCAAGTTCAACCAATCCCCAATTCTCAAGTTTAAAAATTTCCACAACCTCAAGTTAAAAAACAACAGACTCAAGTTCAAGAACAAACTCAAGTTCAAACACGACACAAAATCAGATTCAACAAAAACCACAAACTCAATTTCAACCAACACCTGATTCTCAAGTTTAAAAATTTTCACAAACTCAAGTTCAAAGAACAACACAAACTCAAGTTCAAACACAACACAAACTCAAGTTCAACCAACATCCAAATCTCAAGTTTAAAAATTGCCACAACCTCAAGTTCAACGAACACACAAACTCAAGTTCAAACACACCACAAACTAATGGTCAAACACGCCACAAACTCAACTTCAAACATGACACAAATTCAAGTTCAACAAACGCCACTAACTAGAGTTCAAACACAAAACAAACTCAATTTCAAAAACACCACAAACTCAAGTTCAAACACGACACAAACTCAAGTTCAACAAACACACAAACTCAAGTTCAAAAACACCACAAACTCAAGTTCAAACACGACACAAACTCAAGTTCAACATAATCACAAATTCAAGTTCAACCAACACCTGATTCTCAAGTTTAACAATGTCCACAACCTCAAGTTCAATAACACCACAGACTCAAGTTCAAAAACACCATTAAATCAAGTACAAAATCACTACAAACTAAAGTTCAACAAATGCCACAAACTCAAGTTCAAACACGAAACAAACTCAAGTTCAAAAACACCACAAACTCAAGTTCAAACACAACAGAAACTCAAGTTCAAAAACACACAAACTCAAGTTCAAACACACCACAAACTCAAGTTCAAACACGACACAAACTCAAATTCAAACACACCACAAACTCAAGTTCAAACACAAGACAAACTCAAGTTCAACAAACGCACAAACTCAAGTTCAAAAACATCACAAACTCAAGTTAAACCACGACACAAACTCAAGTTCAACAAAATCACAAACTCAAGTTCAACCAACACCTGATTCTCAAGTTAAACAATGTCCACAACCTCAGGTTCAATAACACCACAAACTCAAGTTCAAAAACACCATTAACTCAAGTTCAAAAACACCACAAACTCAAGTTCAAAAACACCACAAACTCAAGTTCAAACACACCACAAACTCAAGTTCAAACACACCACAAACTCAAGTTCAAAAACAACACAAACCCAAGTTCAACAAACGCACAAACTCAAGTTCAAAAACACCACTAACTCAAGTTCAAACACGACACAAACTCAAGTTCAACATAATCACAAATTCATGTTCAACCAACACCTGATTCTCAAGTTTAACAATGTCCACAACCTAAAGTTCAATAACACCACAAACTCAAGTTCAAAAACACCATTAATTCAAGTTCAAAAACACCACAAACTAAAGTTCAACAAACGCCACAAACTCAAGTTCAAACACGAAACAAACTCAAGTTCAAAAACACCACAAACTCAAGTTCAAACACAACACAAACTCAACTTCAATAAACAAACAAACTCAAGTTCAAAAACACCACAAACTCAAGTTCAAACAGGACACAAACTCAAGTTCAACAAACACACTAACTCAAGTTCAACCAATACCCAAATCTCCGGTTTAAAAATTGCCACAACCTAAAGTTCAAAAACACACAAACTCAAGTTCAAACACGACACAAAATCAGGTTCAACAAAAACCACAAACTCAAGTTCAACCAACACCTGATTCTCAAGTTTAAAAATGTTCACAAACTCAAGTTCAAAAAACAACACGAACTCAAGTTCAAACACAACACAAACTCAAGTTCAATAAACACACAAACTCAAGTTCAAAAACACCACAAACTCAAGTTCAAACACGACAGAAACTCAAAGTTCAACAAATTCACTAACTCAAGTTCAACCAATACCCAAATCTCAGGTTGAAAAATTGCCACAACCTCAAGTTCAAAAACACACAAACTCAAGTTCAAACACACCACAAACTCAAGTTCAAACACGACACAAACTCAAATTCAACAAACGCCACAAACTCAAGTTTCACACACGAAACAAACTCAAGTTCAAAAACACCACAAACTCAAGTTCAAACACAACACAAACTCAGGTTCAACAAACGCACAAACTCAAGTTCAAAAACACCACAAACTCAAGTTCAAACACGACACAAACTCAAGTTCAACAAAATCACAAACTCAAGTTAAACCAACACCTGATTCTCAAGTTTAACAATGTCCACAACCTCAAGTTCAATAACACCACAAACTCAAGTTCAAAAACACCACAAACTCAAGTTCAACAAACGCCAGAAACTCAAGTTCAACAAACGCACAAACTCAAGTTCAAAAACACCACTAACTCAATTTCAAACACGACACAAACTCAAGTTCAACATAATCACAAATTCAAGTTCAACCAACACCTGATTCTCAAGTTTCACAATGTCCACAACCTCAAGTTCAATAACACCACAAACTCAAGTTCAAAAACACCATTAACTCAAGTTCAAAAACACCACAAACTCAAGTTCAACAAACGCCACAAACTCAAGTTCAACAAACACACTAACTCAAGTTCAACCAATACCCAAATCTCAGGTTTAAAAATTGCCACAACCTCAAGTTCAAAAACACCACAAACTCAAGTTCAAACACAACAAAAACTCAAGTTCAAAAACACACAAACTCAAGTTCAAAAACACCACAAACTCAAGTTCAAACACGACACAAACTCAAGTTCAACAAACACACTAACTCAAGTTCAACCAATACCCAAATCTCCGGTTTAAAAATTGCCACAACCTCAAGTTCAAAAACACATAAACTCAAGTTCAAACACGACACAAAATCAGGTTCAACAAAAACCACAAACTCAAGTTCAACCAACACCTGATTCTCAAGTTTAAAAATTTTCAAGAACTCAAGTTCAAAAAACAACACGAACT